TAGAAAGGTCGTATGAATTGCCTGATGGTCAAATTATTACTATTGGTAATGAAAGGTTAGTATCATTTTTTTTTTAAGAACCAAATTTTCTATTAAATATTATAATTATTGATTGATTTTTAAGTCTCTCTTTTTTTAAATAGATTCCGTACACCTGAAGCTCTTTTCCAACCATCTTTATTAGGTAATTTAGCTACTGGTATTCATGAAACTATACACGATTCTATAGCGAAATGTGATGTAGACATTCGTAAAAATCTTTACGGCAACATTATTCTTGCTGGGTTAGTATAAATTGTTTAAATTTTTTTTTTTTTGAACCCAAATGAGGAATGTTGAAGAAACCATGTTATAAAAGATCCGGGAAATTTATTGTATGATTTCTAAGCTAAAATTAATCTTTGTGACGAATTGCATATAGTGACATTATTAACTCAAAATCACGATGTTTGTAGTTATCCTCATTTCTATTATTCATGCATTATTTTAATGGAAAATATTTTAAAATTTTTTACTCTTCATGATGAATTACACATTAACTGAAAATTGACTTTTGGCAACATTCCTCATTTCTATTGAACAGACCCGATTTGTGTGTGTATATATTTATTTATTAAATATATATTATTTTTGTCACAGAGGCAGTACTATGTATTCCGGTATTTCAGACAGAATGCACAAAGAAATCACAAAAATAGCACCTCCCAGTAAGTTGTTTCTTTTTTTGTTTAATAAATATTTGACATATACTAATAAATTATGAAAAAATGTTTTTTTTTTAAGCTATGAAAGTTAAGATTTTTGCTCCACCAGAACGCAAATATTCTATTTGGATTGGTGGTTCTATCTTAGCTTCGGTATATAAAGATCGGAAGAGCACACGTCTGAACTCCAGTCACCGTACGTAATCTCGTATTCCTTCTTCCGCTTGAAAAAATTGTGCTTACTTTTGTTGGTTTATTGTCTAGTAACAATATCTTTTTTAATATTAATAAGGATTCTTTTTACAAATTCTTATATGGGATATACTGCAAATAAATTTTAGGACATTTTATTATGGATAATTATTATATAGAAGTTAATATAATCGATATTCTATAAAGGATGATTTGGACAACTTTTCTCTTGAGAGTGATGAAAAGAGACTAGAGATCTAGTAAATTAAAAAACAGCATCCATAAGTGTATTATAATGCTTCAACCAATTCTGATTTAATGGGATTTTTTGTAATTAATTGCACATGTTTCATTCTAACATACCGGTTGCAACTTTTGATGATGATTGCAATACCTGGTTGCAACCGCCTTTGCGATCACTTTGTTTCTTTTTTTTTGGATTGCGACATGTAACACTTCTAACGTCAAGTTTCTCGTGCAAAAAATTACACTATTTTCAAGACCCTAAGTAATTATTGAATCTCAAGGTAGAATGGCTCACTACTCCTGAACAATTCGTTGCATGGTGGAACAAGAATTACGTAAATTGCAAAGATGAAGGCCCTTCCAGCTATAATTACCACCGGTCAGAATATGGATGTTGGAGTGTTGTTTATGAACAACATATACAACGTTTAAGTCAAAATAAAGATCTTTGCTAAAAAAGTTTATTCATTTCAAAAGAGAAAAATTAAATAAAATGCTTTTATGTGTCCTTTTTACATGTCATTTTGTAAATTGGTGGTGGCAATATTTGTCTTGCACAATGCAGATTTGTAAGATTGTCCGCCGTTTTTCTTTCCTTGATATAGAACATTTAGATATTTTCCATCAAAGCATTCCATTTGGATAAACGGTATAATGTGGATAAAACAAAAAAAAACAAACCTTTGAATTTAATCCTAACAAAACGTCCGGCCACCCGAAATCTAAGTACTATGTTATTTGATTTCTTTTATTTCTTTTCATTTTCCAATGCAGAAAATGATTTGTGCATTCGGAAATTAATTGACGTAACTTGCGTAAAACTTATAAACACGCAGCAATATTTGGAAATTTTCCTGAATCCAACTCATTGTCATTAAAGATTGTAATTCCGCTTGCATACT